GGGACAGTTGATAATAGTGGATTTAGAAATCTTGTCATTTTGTTCTATATCAAATGTCAGTATATTATCCTGCATGCTATATCTTCCATTAGAGAAAGAGCTGTCACAATCTTTGTCAAACGCCATGTGAGACGCACATCTGCTTTGGGATAAATGCACCTGATCGTAAAACGTTTCCCCCTCTTTCCCTCACAGTGTCTCACTCAGTCAGGCTTTAGATTAAGCCGGCCTTAGTTAATATTCCCGCGGTGGCATTGAGAACTGCTGTCAGGACTGCCTGAGCCCCCGCGAGTCCAGCGCTGCGGTGGGGGATGACTGACAATCGCCACCGTGTCTCATTCTCCTCGGAGACACCGAGTAGTCAATAATTCAGCAGGCGGGCGCACTCTCCTGCACAAACACAGGGATGTGGAGGCTCTGTCTCCCACATCTGTTTCAGTCTCTGAATTCCGTCCCCATCCTTTGTCTCGTACCCTCCGTCTCCTTATACCTACCCCCCCCCCCGTCACCTGCCGACACTCACTCCCTCTATATTGCACCGCTTCAATAATTCAAAGTCATATATGAAAGCCAATGAAAATTTGCCATACCTCGGGTCATTACGATGCCTGCCAGGGATTTGTGTCGAGCGTGCGCCGGACCGCAGCCCCCCACCAGCGACCGGTACTTCTCCCTCACCAAGTGGAATATTGAATCGGCAAAGTCCTGGGAAAAACACAACGGCTCCCTTAATTTCGACGTAAAACAGTTTTTTTTTTTGGACAGCACCCACTGGGTTTCGCTTCACTTTGGATATCTTCTCTGTTCATATAACGTGGAGAAACCCGACCTTAGGGTCAACTTACCTGTTTACACAAATGCATGCTAAATGGAAAACTGACTATCTCATTTAAGCGTCTTGATATATTCTAGTTGGCCATTAATATGAGGACCTATTTCATGTGAGATAACTTCTGCCCCTGTGTTCATTTCTTGTGTGCTCACTTTTACCTGGATGTGAACTTGGAGCTTCAAGAGCTGAGGTCAGTGAACAAAGTGTGTGCATAAATGCGAACTTAAAGGCCTTTCAAGACACATTGACTGGGTATTTATCACAGAACAAAGCACGGCGGTAATTCGCACGCTTCTTTGGCCACTTATGACTGGACTCGCATGACATTAGATTAACCGGGTCTACTCCATTGTCTGTTTAATGATCACTATGATCGCAGCGATGCTGAGCTTTAACTATGGGGAGGACACATCCCTCCAAAAGAGATACGCCGCCAGTGGTTTGCAGAACGGTTTTTGTGTCATTTGGCACACCTTAGCCTTTTTTTCTCCCCCTTAATCGAGAATGAGTCCCTGACAGCTGCTGTCTCTCTAATCGGCAGATCATGTGAAGGTTCGAGTCTATTTCTTTCCCGTGTGGAAAATATAACAGGCATGGTTAATCTAAGTGTGAATACAATTTATTCCCCCTCTTTTGTTTTACACCAGGGATTTTGCGAAGCATAATAAACAATTAACCAAACGCCATCTAAAAGAAATCAGGCCATTGAATGTGCGTTTTATTGATGACCGAAATCAATCAAATAGAAATATATATATATATATAGACTGTTTTTCTAATGTTTCACACCATGACATGAAATGATACCTGCTAAAGGATCTGTAGGAGACACTGACTGTGGTTTTATATTTATGCAGTATCCTTAAGGTTAAGCTAATCAAAGCGACTGCAGATGTATAATCTATAAATAGAACCCATGCTCTTGTATGTTGCGTGTCGCTGGCCTGATTTTGTTCGTTGAGTTTAACATAAAGCATAAACAAAAACAAGAAACGTAGCCCTTAGCAAGTGTTGACACCACCAGCGTGAATGCATTGATAAATTTGCCACTGCACGTAATTGTACATAACGCTGAAACGATTTCATGCACCCCACAGCCAAATATCACGCTGTTCTTGTTAATAATCTCATCTGGGCCTGTTAAGTTGCTTTGAACCATCCTTTTTTAAAAAAAAAAAAAAAGGGCAACACTGTTGAAGTATAAGTTTCATTGGTAATGCTCAAAACAAAAATGACTCATTTTGTTCTCCGGATTTGTTTCTGTCCGCGGATGGCCGCAGTTAGAGGTGAAACATTTGTGAAACCTTCAACCCGAGAGAAAGGAGATAGAAATTTGGATCGGGGATGAATGCGATTGCATTAAGAAGAGCTGGCTCCTCTTTGACTCTGCTCATTGGCCGCCGACAATGCGAGCACGGTTCAATCAGGTGCTTCATTTCGGTCTATTCCTCGTTATGAAAGAGTCTGCCGACACTTCACCCAGTACAATCCCCGAGAATATCTCCCTTGTTGCTTTTTCTGAAGTGGATAAACATGTCGGACACTACAGTTTTTTTTCCATTTCACCAGCTGCCATCCGAAATCTTAAGCTTCCTTTGCAGTAAAAAAAAAAAAAAAAAAAAGAAGGAAAAAAAAGAGCTGCTTTCTGTTTCTGCTTTTATGCTGTCTTCCAACTCTAAATCTGACTTTCATGGGATGATGCATTGGATGTAGAATTGCCAAGTCGGAGCAAAATTACACCCCTCAGTTCATTCATCCCACTTTCATCTTTCCTATGGCCAAACCCCCCCAAACTTCCCACCAGACGTCCATTAAATTCACACTGCTCAACAGATGTTGTCAGGGCCCGCGCGCCTCGTTCACACTCCTCTGAAGCCCTAATGCTCTTCACTCCAGTTGTAATTAAGGGGCTTAGTCTCCGGGCTGCCTCCACGCCAACTGTAAAGCGTAAATGGATCACCGGGAGATGGCAACAGAGTGGCAGCGGAGTGGGCCTCTTTTTGGACAGATTGAGCCCACAGTAGCTAAGAGGACAACAACAGATGCCACGGCGACAGACGCACAGAGCCGGGGAGGAGGGGGAGAGAGATTAGGGGGTGGAAAAAGATGAGGAGAGCAAAATGAATTAGCGAACATATTGCACATTATAACCCTCATCAGAGCTGTGAAATACTCTCACAGTCAGAGCTGGCGGTTGAGGTGTTCACAGCTTGTGGTGTGGTGGGTGGCGTGTGGGTCCGTGTGTATGTATGCATAAGCACATATTGCCAGCTCTGACACTGATGTCAGGCTGGAGGCTCTTTTTTTTTTTTTTTTTTTTTTTTTTTTCTTCCTTTTGTTCTCTCGGAGAACGGAGCGGAAAAGTGTGGCGAGAAGTCAACGGGATGAATGGCTTCATCAAAAAGCTCGGGAGCTAACACTCGCGTGTCTGCTCCCGGCCCAGATGAATGTAGTCATCTTTAACAAAAGGCGCCTGGCGAGAAAGTTGGATAACATGCTGCGACTTACTGCCTTTTTTTCTTCTTTTTTTACAGTGGTGACTCATGACAACACATACAATAAAACAACAACACAACCAAAATGGTAAACCATATGGACGGAACTCAAAATGAAAATGACTGCTTATCCAGCTAAGCTAAGCTCAAAAGTGTTTTTTTTCTAACTTAGCTCGATGTGGTAACCATGGTTCTTGCCCCGATGGTGACCCCCGACAGCAAAATCAGACAGACGAGATTGAAAAATCATCCCCTGCAGATTATTTAAAGTCTATGTCTGACACCATGTTTTCAGACTGATATCTGCTATATTTTCATGTCTTATTTATGCCCTTTTTTGCCAACAGATCTTTTCTATTTCTGATACTGAAAGCAGCACAGATTGAAAAATGATGAATACAGGCCTAAATACTGGAGAAATTTCAGTTAATTAAATTTTGTTCCTGAGTTTTGGGAATTTTTCACTCTTATGGAACAATGTCAGAGCTAAGTAGCAGGAATATATTCACCTCATGTAAGACCACATATATAGTGGTCTTACATGAGGTGAATATATATATTCTGCTCTACTGGTTTGATTTCATAACAGATAAGAATGTTAGATGTAACCTTTGTGATCACAAAGCTGGTGGTCTAATGATTTCTGTGTTTATGTTCTAACTTCCTCTTTAGGTGTCTTAGTTTTTAGTGTCATTTTCTATTAGCAGTACGTTTTTTTTTTTGTTTTTTTTGGTGGCGCACCGTGTCTGTTTTTTTAATCTGTCTATATTTTTAAGTCTTGTTTTGCAGGATGCTGAGACCTGAACTTTGTCTTTGCTTCCGGGTCTCATTTGGCCCAAATATCTGAGCTCGTACTTAGAATCCAAAAAAGTGTAATAACAACAAAATGGCGATAGAGTCGACGCTTAACAGTGTCTTTGACAGTCCAGAAATAGTATTAATTTAAAAAAATTGGGAACACCTTTAATAATCCATCAGGAATACTTGAAGTGCAGAACCAATAACTGAAAATTAAATATCAACATAACCCCCAGTAGCTTCCTGATGTAGTGTGCATAAACAGTGTTAACAAAAACATTGCCTAATTCATTAGAATGCCGACTAAGACTTTATGCGTCTAAGAAGCAGAAGCCTGCAAGTCAGTCTCTGAAGAGGGAGAAAAAAATAGACTTGTTTTCATTTCATGAGCTCCAGTGTTGCAGAGGGTTGTGATTCTGCACAGCAGCATGACAAAAAAAAAGAAAAAAAAAGAAAAAGGCGGATGGGGGGGAGGGAAAAAACGCCTTGTTTTTTGTACCTGAAAGTGACATCCAATTAATTTGAACAGAGAGCTGCTTGGCTTGGCAGCATCAGCTGGTGTCGGTCACAGTGTGAACCCGGAGTCAAGTCCTCCATCCCTCCTAAAGGCCTTTTCATTGATGACATTACAGAGGGGAGAGAAGGTGGCAGCTCAGAAAGGCCCGCAGAGCAAAGGTGGAATAGATCTTGGCAAGCAGCCCGGCTTTTTTTGGTCCGTCCCTCCATCCTTTTTCTCCCACTTCTCCCCCCTTTTTGCTCACCTCTCCCCGTCTCTGTCAGATCGCGTTTCCTCTCGCCTCCGTCCAGTCCTTTTTCTTTTCATTGTTTCTCACCTCTGCTTCCTCCTTTCTCCCTTAAACAACCCCTTGCCTCCTTCTCTCTCCCCCCCTCCCTTCTCTTGCTTTGTCAGGGATCTCCTCTCTCATACACACTGCTTTCTGATAGAGGGCGGTGATGTGCCACCAGCCAGTCGGAGACTCTCGTCTCCTCGCCCCGGCGAGTCGGAGTGAGAAAAACAAACATCATACGGCACACCTGACCCAAATTGGAAAGCGGGCTGCGATTTACAGCTGGGTTTCCCCCTTCAGTCCTCTCAGTTACCGTCTGTTTATGTCAGCCAGTATCTCAGCAAATGCATATACCTGGGCCTTTCTGCCCAGCTATTTTCCCTATACACACACATACATGCACACGCTCTCTTTGCTCGTTGGGGAGTTGAGTGCCACCTTCTGCGTGGGCCTAATGTGGCAGAAAAACGGGGCCAAGGATCTCACTCCTCGGCCTGGCAGACCGCGGGGGCCACGAAAGTTAGCGGGCGCTCCACGCTTTGGAATCTGGCGTCCAGCGTCTGTTTCCAGGGGGGAAAAAAAAAAAAAAACCCACGGAAGCTCCTCTCCTGCGTCAGCTAGGCCAGATTTGCCCAGCGATTCCTGGTTCGCGGGAAAAAACGAGCCGTTATTTAGTGACCGCAGCTGCAACGGATGAGATCTGCTGTCCCCATCAAGAGGAGGCACCGAAGTAAAAGGCCAAACAATAAAGCCAGTGTGCCGAACTCAGGGCCCACTCATGAACTTTGTGCAGATATCAGGGAGAGGAGCCAGAAGTGGACGGAATTAGGGGTCGTATTCCCATATATCTCTCTTTCTCGCAGAAACATTTGTAATAACTACTCCAGCAGAGCCAGTGAGGAGGGGTTTGCTCGCCTGTGGAAGTATCCACAGTACGATAGGATGAGGGGAAACAATAGGCAGACGTAGCTCCGACAAAATGAGCATCTCCGCCGACCTCAGCGAAAAGCGATCGCCGATCATTCGTACGACACAACGATCTGTGTGGGCGGCCACTGGGATGCTTATGTAATTAAAAATAAACCTGTTTGCAAACAATAATGCAAAGTCGTCGGCTGCTCTGTTGCCAAAGCATTCCATTTACTTCCATAAGACGAAATAAACACCGACACACACACACACACACACACACACACGCCTCCTCTCTTGGTGCTCATTCGCCAGTGACCCGAACCCTCTCCCAGCTAAATGCTAAACTGTGGCCTTAACATTTACCTTAACCTTCTGCTAATTGTAGCCCAAACCATAAAAAACCCACTTTTGACCCTTCATTCATTACCCATAAAACCTAGAATTGCGTCGGACACAGATAAGTGTACGGAGCATCTAGCTTCTATGTGATCATAAACACAAGAAAATCAGAAGAAAACACAAATTGGAACCGATGAGTCATGAACACACCACGGGACGAGGCCAGAGGATTCTCTGCTTCTACAACATAGGCGTCTCCTGCTGTGCAAGGTTGGGGTACGGTTTGTTAACCCGATTCTTTAATTGGAAACCTGAGAATAAGCCAGAGTAGATCAAGAGTAAAATATTACTCTTGATCTAAAAAAAAAAAATTACCTGTGACCCATTTATTGGGTCACAGGTAAAACCTCTCTCTCAGGGTCTCAGTTGGCAAAGAGCCCTGAGATCTGGGGGTGATGGGTCTTTGTGTCCTGGGCTGGGCACACCCCTCAAAAGGAGGACTGGACACAACCAACTCCTATTGGTTAGTTATCTGTAAAACTAACAAGCCGGGTCCTAATTCATGTTGATGACATTGGAATGTGGTACCAAATGATGTGTGTGTGTGTGTTTGTGTTGACTTAAAGACTCTATCTTATGCAAGAGAGCAAGAAAAGGAGAGAAAGAAAAGAGAGAGAGAGAGTCTGTGGGCACAGCTCGAGACTTCAACACAAAATATAGTTATAAAGAAAATAAGACAATCGGTAATCTACATAGATCATGTGATAGCATATTATGCTAAAGTGAGTATTTTTAGCCAAATCCTAACAGGTTACAGTTAAGGGTCGGAAAAAAAATCTACACAACCGACTAATAAAACGTCAGCTACGCCCTCTCTGACTGTGCATGAACCTCAGCCTGACCCATTACTGATCTCTGTCCTCGAGCCCAATTCACCAACGGTTTCTCCCAGGAATAGCGAGACGTTTTAGCTTCCCCGGTCGACAACTTTGGCTTGTTTTTGTGCTCCTTGAGCTTTTTCTAAGCAGTTTTCGGCCTGCAATTAAACAAAGGTAAGGTAGCTGGAAGACTTTGCATCCGAACGTGACATTGCAATTAGTGTTAACCGTGTCACCTCTTTTTTTAAATGGTTGTGGTCGGTTGGTGCAATGTGTTGACAAAGTGTTGCAACAATTTGAAATTTACTGGGATGCTGACATTGAAAGATTAACAGTGACATTTAAACATGCAATTGTGTGACTTTTTAAACATTTTTTAACCCAAATAGTGGCTGTTCAATAGAGTGAAGAACAGACTGTGAGGTCCCTCACAGAAGAACAACTTTTGGTCAAAACACTCTCTCTGTGAGAGCCACTAACATCTGGAACAGTCTTCCTCTGCACATACGGTAGAGCCCTACACTGATCAGTTTTAGAGCTCAACTCAAACTATGGATGAAAACAAACAAGTCATGTGACCATTAAAACTCTTAACATTTCCTTGTGATGCTTATATTGTATTCTATATGTTCTTTCTTATGTATTTACCTGCCTTGGGACTACGGATGAAAACTAGCTTTGTAGCTATAATCCGGCATATATACATTAGTTTTTATACTGATGTTCATTAATGTGCTTTGTCCCTATTCCAATAAATACATAAATAAAATAAATAAGCAGCTAAGTGTAAAACTTCGGTATGGTTTCTCCTGAAAATAAGCATTTAAAAAAAGCATTCAAATCCATTTTCACCCTCCTCTGCCTCCTCTTTGTCCGCCCCCCTTCCTGCCCGACTGTTCGCACACGTCAACAGTTCTGCACCTTTCTCCCAAATAAATGTGGAATGTCACCGCCGATCCTCCCGCTGTCTTTGCGATAAAGTCAATATTGTGCCAGAAACACAAAAATGTCAGCGGGGGACATTTTCTCGGCCGCTGCCTGACCTGGAAGACGTCGCGTGCTGGGAGGGAACATGTCGGCCTGTCTGTCCTTAGTAAAATGCACAAGTGTATAATTTATTGTTTATCATCCACGGCCCCCGCGAGGGAAATTATGACATAAGACAAAAGATCAGCATCGATTCCGTTTTAAAAGCCTCCGTAACGTCTCCGTATGTACTCAAGTTAATCTGGTGAAACGCGTTGTGTAAACCTAAGGCAGCCATGTTGAGTGTGTGTGCATGTGTGTTGGCGGATTTTACCCCACCTTTCCTGAGGAACACACACACACACACACACACACACACACACACACACACACACACA